TCGTACCTGTAAAAGAGTCGTTCTATGGAGTTTCAGTGCCCCCTTCTGGTGAATTTTAGCGAAGCAGCCAGAACAGAAATCTTCTCCACATTCAAGGCATGCCTTTAGAGATAGAAAAATATCATGAGAAGTTATAATGATGCTGAGCAAATGATTGCGTTAAAATGTCACTATTAACATTCCCGTTTCTGCAAGAACATACCTTGATGGCATTGGAATGCAAAAGTCTGAAGAAACGAATACAGTCATTTACCTGAGTTAAGATTTAACTTTTACAGAAAACATAAAACTTATCATGGCTCTGATATGAAATATAATAGCTTTAATGTAGGTTTCAGAACCATGCATTAGATGGATAGGAGACCTGCTGGTACAGGGATTGAGTGCTCAGCTGCTAACTGAATGGGTGGTGGTTCAAATCCACCTGCCCGTCGTCCTCTTCCATGGGAGAAAGATGTGGCAATCGGGTTCCCTAAAGATTCACAGCCTTGGCAACGGTCTGGAACAGTCCTCCTCTGCCTGCCAGGGCCGCCATCCGTCACAATGGCAGCGGGTTTGGTTTGCATTTGGTTCATTGTATGTACGTAGACAAAATTGCCAAAGAAACTTCCAGCACACTCAGGTCAAACTTTTTAACCTGGTAAAAATTAAGGAGCATTCTCTGTGCTAAAAAAAACAAAACAACTTTCAGTTTTTCTGATGAGTAATTTCCTGTGGATGGATTTACAATTAATTTTTGAATTATATGTATACTATCTGCCTCCAAAGATCCTCAAGTACTTCCTTAAATAGCCTTTGCAATTACCAAAATATATGATTTTCAAAGTATTCTTAAAAGAGTCTCCAAAGTAAAGAAAGAATACAAAATTGGATAGAACCACATCAAAAAGTCCATGATGCTTGTCACTGGTGAAGTGATGATAAGCCAGTTTATGTTCCTCTCTGCTCTGTTTCCGAGCGACTCTATAGGACCAGGGAGAACTGCCCCTGTGGGTTTCCGGCGCTCTAATTCTTTCTCCCTGCAATGCTCTAGAGTGTGAAAAATATAATTTTGAAATCGCCTGTATAAATTGAATAATGTTAGATGCCTGTATCTACGAGGGT